GGGTCAACCTTCACTTTATAACAGATTGGGAGCTCATCCTGGATCTGGCCAGCTCGGGACCAGGATTTGGTTAGGTTGGGACAGATCAGGTTGGGATTTGAATGGATTTGGATGGATCTGTAAAGATTTGGACAGATTTATGATATGAAAGATCCCAGCACATTTAAACATACTTGGGGATTAGTGTCCTAGATCTTTAAATTAAACTTAAGTGAGAAGTCGAAAATCTGTTTAATCTCAGTTGCTTGTTGTTGGTTAAATCAAAAGTGGGGAAATCATTCTTAATATTGCTAAAGATGTTCTGGGGTTTGAAGATGCTTCCCAAATTTGCCAAGAACGTTTAGAAAGACAGAGACAGAGAATTAGCTATCAGGCTAGAACTAGGTTTAACTAGGGATAAGAGGAAAGCTGAAATTGTAAAGGAGTTAATCAAGTATTTAGGTATACCAGAGAAACAGGCAAGTGCAGTGGAGTTAAAAAAAAATTAAATTGCAAATGAGACAATTGGAGTTAGAGGATAAAGAAAGGGAAAGAATGTTCGAGTTGGAAAAGATGGAGCAATCTGAAAAAGAGAAAGAGAGAGTTTGAACTTTGGAAGTTGCAAATTAGACAGGAAAGTCAATCTAAAAGGATGGAGATGAAGGTAAAAAGTAGGCTTAGTGAGGAAGAGAGTGATGAAGAGCAAACCCATCATAGCCAAAGACCTGGTAGGGATATATACAAATATGTCAAAACCCTTACCAAAATTCCATAAAAAAGATATAGAAGTCTTTTTCATTTCCTTTGAGAAATTGGCTAAACAGGTGAACTGGCCAGAGTCTGTGTGGGTAATGTAAATTCAGACCAAGTTGGTAGGCAGGGCTAGTGAGGTGTTTGCAGTGCTGTCAGAGGAGGTGTCAGGAAACTATGAAGAAGTTAAACAGGCTGCTTTGAGCGCCTACAAATTGGTACCAGAAGCATATAGACAACGGTTCAGAAATATGAGAAAGGATCAGGTCAGACTTATATCAAGTTTGAAAGAATTAAATACAGCAGCTTCGATAGATGGGTGAGAGCATTATAGAAAGAAAAGACATATAATCTTAGGGAGATTATTCTGCTGGAGGTGTTTAAAAACTGACTTCAAGAAGTGATAAGAACTCATGTTGAGAAACAGAAAGTTAAAACAGCGAGAAGAGCTACAGAGTTGAAAGATGAATACGCATTGATGCATAAATCAAAATCTAGCTTCCGACAGCAGTTTCATTCCGTAAGGGATAGAAATTGGGAAATAGGGTGATCCTTTAATGAAAAACAAAAAGTAGATCACACTGGGAACAGTTTACCACATGAGAAAAAAGAAACCCAAGAGGGTGGAAAAGAGGTGAAAGACTTCAGGTGTTTTCACTGCAATAAGGTGAGACACACAAAGTCACAGGGCTGGTGGTTTAAGAGAGGCACTGGGGAAAAGGATGTGGTAAAAGAGACTAAACCAGTGGGATTGGTTGAGGTAGTGAAGGAAATCCCAAGAGAATTCGAGGAGCTGCACGAGAGTGCACAGCCTTGTCACAGGCTGCATAGTAAGATAGCACCTGATCCCTTCAAAGACTTCACCTGTGTGGGTAAGGTTTACTCAGGTAGAACAGGGGGAGTAGTTACAGAAGTTAAAATATTGAGAGATACGGGAGCTGGTCAGTCTCTAATAGTAAGAGATGAAAATATTTGCACTCCTTCTGTGATAATCTGTGGAATAAATAGAGAGAATTAGCCCTGTGTAAGATCAGGCTAAAAAGTCTAATCAAGACTGGGGAAGTTATTCCAGGAATACAGTTTGTTCTTGGAAATGATATAGCTGGATCGAAGGTGGGAGTGATGTCCATTGTAGTGGAGAAGCCAAAAAAAACCCCAGAGAACTGAGGAGTTAAAAAGAAAATACCCTGGAACTTTTCAGGACTGTGTAGTTACAAGATCCCACAGTCATAAGTTAAACAAGAAAGGAAAACAAAAGAGAAAGATGGAGGAGTTGAGATCCAGTTAGCTAACGCCCTGTTTGATGAAATGATAAAGGAAAAAACTAAGCAGGTAAAGGATCAGACAGAGGTGTTTAGTTCTGAAAGATTAATGTACTTACGGCAAAAAGATGAGACGATAAAGGATTTATGTCATAAATCCTACTCAGAAAAGGAATCAGAATGTATTCCAGAATGTTATTACCTTAAGGATGGAATCCTAAGGTGAAAATGGAGACCTTAGCAGGTTAGTGCAGAGGAAAAATGGGCAGATGTTCACCAGATTATGTTTCCAGTAGCATACAGACAGGAAGTATTGTAGGAGGTCATCTAGGAGTGAGGAAGACTGAGGCTAAGGTACAGAAGCATTTCTATTGGCCTGAATTACATAAAAATATGGTTGAATTTTGCTGTACGTGTAAGATGGTATGAAAGCCACAGGCAGTAATAAAACCAGCGCCTTTGATGCCAATTACCACATTTGAAGAAAGTTTCACGTGGGCTATGATTGATTATGTAGGTCCTCACCCTAAAACCAAACATGGGAACCAGTATTCTCTAACCATAATGGATGTGTCTACCAGATTACTGCCAAGAGTACAATTTTACTGCCAAATTATTTAAGGAGGTCATGGATAGTTTAGGTATCCAACACTTTAAATCAAGTGTGTTTTTTTCCTTTATTCATTAATGGGATGAGAACATCACTGGACAGGCAGCATTTATTGCCCATCCCTAATTGCCCAGAGGGCAGTTCAGAGTCAACCACATTGCTGTGGGTCAGGAGTCACATGTAGGCCAGGCCAGGTAAGGATGGCAGTTTCCTTCCCTGAAGGACATTAGTGAACCAGATAGGTTTTTCCTGACAATCGACAATGGATTCATGGTCATCATTAGACTCTTAATTCCAGATATTTATTGAATCCAAATTCCACCATCTGCTGTGTCAGGATTTGAACCCGGGTCCCCAGAATGTTATCTGGGTCTCTGGATTAATAGTCTAGCAATATTACCACTAGGCCATCACCTCCCCATCACATCCTGAATCCCAGACAGCGTTTGAAAGGTGACATCAGATCCTGAAGACCATACTGAGGGCTTACTGTCAGGGTTGCCCAAATGATTGGGATAAAGGTATCCCATTTATATTATTTGCCAATACCGATGCCTCAAATGAATTGACTCAGTTTACTCCATTTGAACTGATGTTTGGGCACGAAGTAAGAGAACCTTTAAAATTAATTAAAGAAAAGTTGATAGGTTCAAAATCAGAGATCCCACAGTTTGATTATGTATCTGAGGTGAGAGAAAGATTAAACAGAGCAGATGAATTAGCTAGACAACATTTGAAGGTGGCACAGCATCCAATGAAGCAAGAAGCAGATAAGAAATCTAAAATTCATACGTTTGCCCATGGGAATAAAGTATTGGTGCTGTTACCAGTGGTAGGGGATCCCTTCAAAGCAATGTTTAGTGGTTCCTATCAGATTGAGAAGAAGTTAAGTCAGGTGAATTATCTGGTAAAGATGCGAAATAGGAAAAAAAATGATCAGGTATGTCATGTTAACATGCTGAAACATTATGATGACAGGGAAAGGGAACTGGACAAACAGGTATTAGTCACTGCCACTTAGAGTGATGAATGAAATCCAAATGATGTGGATTTTGATGTGCCTCAGAATAAATTGAATAATGAGGAAGTCCTTAAAGAATGGAATAAGGTAGTGAGCTATCTGACACAGTAACAGAGAACTGAATTGAAAGACTTGTTTCAGCATTATGAGAACATATGTAGAAATAGAATGGGGAGGACTAATACCATAGTACATGAAGTTGACATAGGGAATGCTGCTTCAATAAAACAACATCCCTACAGGCTTAATACTCTCAAAGCTGCACAAGTACAGAAGGAAGTGGAAGCAATGCTCCAAAAATACATCATGGAGCCGAGTCAAAGCGAGTGGAGTTTGCCAATCTTATTGGTTCCCAAACCTTATGGTATTCAATGAATTTGCATAGATTATCAGAAGGTCAACGCAGTGATAAAATCTGACTTATACCCAATTCCAAGGCTGGGGGACTGTGTGAAAAAAATAGGACAAGCCACTTACATCACAAAGTGGACTTACTTTGTGGTTATTGGCAGAAAGTTATTGTTAGAGAAAGCATCATCTAAATAAAGGTGCCACATCACTCTTAGTTAATATTCCTGACAGAAGATCAAGGGAGAAGACACAGAACATTCCAGAAGATGTAACCTGACTGTAATTTCGAGAGACTAAGTTCTAATTTTTAAAATTTTGTTTTTATAAGTGGGACTTGTATTTATTGGAATAGCATGCCATAAGGATCATGTTTTATTTGAGAATAGTTAGTAGTTAGAGGGGAATTGTTCAGTTTGTTAATAGGTCAGTTAATTTTGTTCACTGTTAGAGATAAATAAATAAATTGTTACTTGTCGATTATACAGTGAGTGTCAGGAGTTTATTTCATTTAACCACTCCTTTATAACATAATGGGGGTGAGAGGCAGGTTACACCACTTTTCACACTTCTTTTAACAGATTATAGGGTGAGGCGAGCCTCTCTAGTTGTTTTGGTTTTAGTTATCAGAGGGGATCGAGCTCCACTTTATTATATACTCCAATATCCCCTTGAGTTAAGGACCAATATTCCAATAGCTTTCCTGATTGACTGCTGCTCCTGTGTGCTCACTTTCTGTTTCATGAACAAGTATCCCCAAGTCCCATTGTGTACAGCTTTCTGCAGTTTTTCACTATTAAGTAAAACTGTTTTCATGTTCTCCCTTCAAAATATGAACAACTTTACATTTTCTTTATACTCCATTTGCTACTAACCCCAACCCTAACCCAACTTGCCAATTTATGTTAATGTAGGAAATAAAGCTGGTAGTTTACTTGTATAGTGGAAGATGAATATAAAGATTTTTTCCACATTAAATCTGTACCGGTTTGACACATAGCTGCTTGTTTCTTGTTGATTTGACGCCTACCTGTTTAAAGCAAGCCTCCACCAAGTTTGGGGGGAACACGTTCCTGTGGAGTAAAGAAATCATTGTTATTAAAGAGATCTGGCATGATTTGAGTTCTGTGCCAGACTGAGGTTTTCTGGCTATTTATCTTTCCAGTTTGGTCTGAGAATCGCACAATATTCTTTGTCCACCCGTTAACCTCCACATCTTGCACTTAAAGAGGTAAATCTATCCAACATCAATTTGTACTGCTCCTAACTGAAACACTAGACTTGAATGTAACTGGCTTAGGGCTGCTTCCCAATAACAGGTGAATGAAAGGTCAGTTACCCCAGACTAGAACCCACTGACTACTCAGACTCACTTCAACAACTTTGTCACAAGCACTGCCCATTCAGTCTAAGCACAACATGCAGAAAGCCAATTAGAAACAGGTGGAGAAATGTTCCTGGTATGCGGAAAAGATCCTTGGAGAAACATTCCAGCAAGAGAAGATGTGAAGTATTGCAGAGGTGAGTATTAGTTGTGTATTAATGAGGTTTAATTGTATTCAGGAATTCATTGGGGATTCATTTTAATCCCTATAAATAGACACAGACTAAATCATTGATTGTTGTAACATGTGTAACTCTATAAAGAACTGTCAAAAGTTTATAAAGTTTGATTCCTGTTCTGTCCTTTACCTCTGAAATGAGAATGTGCAGAGGGTAGTTGAACTGGTTTAATTAATGATATCGCAGCAAAGTGATAGCAGTGATCGTAACATGATCACATTCAGTTTGAGGTAGAGAAGTGTCGACCTAAGACTGTTGATGGAAACTTAAATAATGGCAATTAGCAAGTTATGAAGACAGAGTGACCAACATGAACTTGGAAACTAGGTTAAGAGGTAGGTCAGTTGAAATGCAGTGGCAGTGTCTTAAGAAGATGTTTAAAAACACTCAGTGAAAGCATATCTATGTAAAAAAGAGGGAGAGGTTGATTGGTAAATCACTGGACTGGAAACCCAGGGCCACCAGTCCAAAGATATGAGAAGTTGGATTTGAACCTCCCCATGACAGGTGGTAAAATGTGAATTCAATAAAATCTGGGATAATATGAAAATCTATGAGCAATCATGAATCCTTGGTCAACGATAAAATCCCATTGGGCTCATTAACGTCCTTCAGGGAAAGAAAGCTTCTATCTTTGCCCATATGGGGGAGGCAATGGGCCAAGAGGTATTATCACTCGAATATGAATCCAGAAACTCAGCTAATGTTCCAGGTATCCAGTTTGAATCCCACCACAACAGACGGTGGAATTTGAATTCAATGAAAAAATCTGGAAATACAAATACACTGATGACAATGAATCAATTGTCGATTGTTGGGAAAAACCCATCTGGTTCACTGATGTCCTTGAGGGAAGGAAGCTGCTATCCTTACCTGGTCTGGCCTACATGTGACTCCAGATCCACAGCAATGTGGTTGACTTTCAGCTGCCCTCTGAAATGCCCTAGCAAGCCATTCAATTGCTCTAAAGTCTTAACAAAGAAATTAAATTGGACAGACCACCTGACACTGGAAAAAACAACAGCAGAAACAGCCCTGTCGACCCTGCAAAGTCCTCTTTACTAACATTTTGAGGGTAGTGCCAAAATTGGGAGAGCTGATGAGTCAAGTGACAGCCTGTCCTAGTCATACTCACAGAATCATACATGAAACATAGAACATAGAATAGTACAGCACAAGAACAGGCCCCTCAGCCTACAAAGTTCTGCTGAACATGACAACAGATTAAACGAATCCCTTCTGCCTGCCCTTCATCCATATCCCTCCATTCCTTCCATATGCATGTACTTATCTAACCGTCCCATAAATGCCCCTATCGTATCTGCCTCCACGACCACCCAGCAGCATGTTCCAGACACCTACCACTCTCTGTGTGAAAAACTTGCCCCTCACGTCTCTTTTGAAGATTTCCCCTCTCACCTTAAATGCATGCCTTCTAGTTTTAGACATTTCAACTCTGGGAAAAAGATTCTGACTGTCAACTTTATCTATACATCTCATAATTTTATAGATTCCTATCAGGTCTCCACTTCGGCCTCCGCTGCTCCAGAAAAAACAACCTGAGATTTTCTAGCCTCTCCTTATAGCTCATACTCTCCAATCCAGGCAGCATCCTGGTAAATACTTTCTGCACCCTCTCCAAAGCCTCCACATTCTTCCTGCAAGGTGGCGACCAGAATTGAACGCAATACTCTAAGTGTGTCCTAATCTAAGTATGATAAAGGTGCAACATGACATCCTGACTCTTCTACTCAATGCCCCGACCAATAAAGGCAAACATGCCGTGTGCCTTCTTTAGCACCATATCTAATTGTGTGGCCACTTTCAGGGAGCTATTGACTTGAACCCCAAGATATCTCTGTACATCAATGCTGTTCAGGGTCCTGCCATTAACTGTACACTTTTCCTTAACATTTGATCTCCCAAAGTGCAGCACCTCACACTTACACGGATTAAACTCCATCTACCATTTCTCTGAACATATCTGCAACTGATCTATATCCCGCTGTATCCTTTGACAACCTTCAACACTATCTACAACTCCACTGATCTTTGTGTCATCTGCAAACTTACTAACCCACCCACCTACATTTTCATCTCACAAACAGCAGAGGTCCCAGTACGGATCCCTGTGGAACACCACTAACCATGGACCACCAGCCTAAAAAAACATTTTTCCACCCCCTGCTTTCTATGGGTAAGCCAATTCTGAATCCATGCGACCAAGTCATCATGGATCCCATGCATTTGATCTTCTGGATGAGCCTACCATGAGGGACCTTGTCGAAAGCCTTACTAAAATCTATGTAGACAACTGCCCTCATCGATCCCCTTCATCACCTTCTCAAAAAATTCAGTCAAGTTAGTGAGACATGACCTACCCTGCAAAACGCCATGTTGACTGTCCCTAATTAGGCTGTGTTTTTCCAAATGCACATAAATCCTATCACTAAGAATGTTCTCCAAAGCTTCCTAACCATGAATGTGAGACTCACTGGTCTATGGTTTCCTGAATTATCCCTATTTCCCTTCTGAACAGAGGAACATTAGCTACTTGCCAGTCCTCTGGGATCTCTCCAGTATCTAGCGAGGATACAAAGACCCCAGCAATCTCCTCTCTTGCCTCTCTCAAAAACCCCTGGGGTAGATACCATCTGGCCCTGGGGACTCATCCACCTTAATGCTCTTCAAGAGACCCAATGCCACTTCATTCTTGATCTCAAAATGCTTCATCATATTAGCATGCCCCACATTAATCTCACTCTCCTCCATGCCTTTATCCTGGGTGAATACCTATGCAAAGTACTCATTTAGGATCTCGCCCACATCCTCTATGTCCAGGCACAAGTTCCCTCCTTTATCCTTGAGTGATCCTACCTTCTCCCTAGTTATCCTTTTATTTTAATGTATGTATAGAATACCTTGGAATTCTCTTTAGCCCTACTTGCCAAGGTCATTTTGCAGCCCCTCCATGCTCTCCTAATTTCCTGCTTGACTTTCCTGCTTTCCTCATACTCCTCATGGGCCCTGCCCAATTTTAGCTTCCTAAACCTTACTTATGCTGCGTTTTCCCTTTTGGCTAAATTCACAACCTCCCTTATTATCCAAGGGTCCCTTTCCTTGCCATCCTTATCCTTCCTCTTTACCAGAACATGTTGGTCCTGACCTCTTGACCAGTAGGTCTTTAAACAGACATTGTCCCAGACACCACCACCTCATCCCTGAATGTGTCCTGTCCCAGCAGAGGGGGCAGCACATGGGTATACAGTCGGGAGGGTGTTGCTCTAGGAGTCCTCAACATTGACTCCGGACCCATGAAGTCTCATGCGTCAGGTTGAACATGGGCAAGAAAACCTCCTGCTGATTACCACGTACCGTCCTCCCTCAGCTGATGAATCAGTACTCCTCCATGTTGAACAATATTTGGAGGAAGCACTGAGGATGGCAAAGGCACAAAATGTACTCTGGATGGGGGATTTCAATGTCCATTACCAAGAACGGCTCAGCAACTGATAGAGTCCTAAAGGACATAGCTGTTAGACTGGGTCTGCGGCAGGTGGTGAGGGAACCAACAAGAGGGAAAAACATACTCGACCTCATCCTTACTAATCTGCCAGCTGCCAACAGAATCGGTAAGAATAACCACTGCACAGTCCTTGTGGAGATGAAGTCCTGCCTTCACATTGAGAACAACCTCCATCGTGTTGTGTGGCACTATCACTGTGCAAAATGGACAGACTTCGCACAGATCCTCAATGCTGGGCATCCATGAGGCGCTGTGGGCCATCAACAGCAGCAGAATTGTACTCCAGCACAATCTGTAACCTCATGGCCTGGCATATCCCCCACTCAACCATTACCATCAAGCCAGGATCAACCCTGGTTCAATGGAGAGGACAGGAGGGTATGCCAGGAGCAGCACCAGGTGTCAACCTGGAGAAGCTATCAAACAGGATTACTTAGTGCTTTAAACTGAAAAGAGGAGGGGTGTAGTCTCAGTTGCTTGGAAAACTTTGGAAAAAGTTAAAGGGAGGAGGGCTCAGCAGAGGTGATTAAAGTTTCTAGAATAAGTCACAGAGCAGAGAGTATAGGTAGCATAGGGTCAGGAATCTAACTTCAGGTGCAGCAGCTAAGAGGACAACTATGAGAAAGGGGACAGTCAACATAGGACTGAGGATGTTGTACTGAAATGTATGCAGTATACGAAACAAGGTAAGTGAGGTTGTAGAGATAACAAGGTGTAGAGCTGGATGAACACAGCAGGCCAAGCAGCATCAGAGTAGCAGGAAGACTGACGTTTCGGGCCTAGACCCTTCTTCAGAAAATCTGCTGCTTGGCCTGCTGTGTTCATCCAGATCCACACCTTGTTATCTCAGATTCTCCAGCATCTGCAGTTCCTACTATCTCTGAAACAAATGAGGTTGTAGCACAGATTGAAATTGATAGCTACAATGTGAGTATCACAGAGAAGTGGCTGCAAGGGGATCAGGGCTGGGAACTAAATGTTCAAGGAAACACATCCTATCGAAAGGACAGGCAGATGAACAGATGGAGTGGGGTTGCCTTCTTAGTAAGAAGTGAAATTAAATCAATAGCAAGCAGGAATATCAAGTCAGAAGGTGTAGAATCTGTGTGTGTGGAGTTGAGAAACCACAAAGGGAAAAAGACCCTGATGGGAGTGTGTACATGCCTGTGGAGAAGAAAATAACTCAGAAGACAGAAAAGGCATGTAAGAAAGGCACTACTACACTAGTCATGGGCACTTCAATATGCAGGTAGACTGGGAAAATCAGATTTGTAGCGAATCTCAAGAAAAAGAAATTTGTGCAATGTCTACACGATGGTTTTGTTGGAGCAGCCTGTGGTAGAGCCCACTTGGGAACAGGCAGCTCCGGATTTCTGGATGTGCAATGAGGCCAACTTGATTAGGGAGCTTTAGGTGAAGGAACCCCTAAGAGGCTGTGACCATAAAGTGAGAATTCACCCTGCAGTTTGAGAGGGATAAGCTGGAGTGGCACGGTGGCTCAGTGGTTAGCATTGCTGCCTCACAGTGCCAGGAACCCAGGTTCGATTCCACCCTCAGGTGACTGTCTGTGTGGAGTTTGCACATTCTCCCCGTGTCTGTGTGGGTTTTCTCCAGGTGCTCCGGTTTCCTCCCACAGTCCAAAGATGTGCAGGTGGATTGCCCGTAGTGTCCAGGGATGTGTAGATTAGGTGGGTTATAGGGGGATGAGTCTGAATGGGATGCTCTGAGGGTCAGTGTGGACTTGTTGGGCCAAAGGGCCTGTTTCCACACTCTAGGGATTCTGTGATTATTCTATGTAATGGTATTACAGTTGAGTAAAGGTAACTGCAGAGACATGAGGGAGGAGTTGATTGGAAAGGGGAGCCTAACAGGGAAGATGGTGGAGCAGCAATGGCAGGAGTTTCTGGGACTGGTTTGGGAGGCACAGCAGAAATTCATCCCAAGGAAGAAGAAACAAACTAAGGGGAGGATTAGGCAACCATGGCAGACAAAGGAAGTCAGGGACAGCATAAAAATAAAAGAAAAAAGCATACAATGTGATGAAGATTTGTGGGAAGCCAGAGGAATTTGAAGCCTTTAAAAACCAGCAGAGCATATTTAAAAGAAAGAAGAAGGGGGTAGAAGATAAAATATCAGAGTAAGATTACAAGAGTTTTCATTTAAGCTATCTAAAAGGTAAGAGAGCGGCAATAGTGGACATTGGATCATTAGAAAAGAGGCTAAGTAGTAGTGATGGAGAACAAAGAAATGGTGAAGGAATTGAAATAGGTACGTAGCATCAGTTTTCACTGTGTAAGATTCCAGTAGCAGATCAGAACTTCAAGAGAGTCAGGGGCAGAGATGAGTGTAGTGTCATCACTGAGGAGAAGATTCTGGGAAAGACTAGGACCTGGGGGCATAGCCTTGGTGTGAAGAGATGACCCTTTAGAACTGAGATCAGGTGGAATCGCTTCAGCCAGAGGATGGTGACTCTGTGGGAACTCATTGCTGAGTTCCCACAGCAGGCTGTGGAGGCCAGGTCATTGAGTTTATTTAAGACAGAGATAGAGATAGCTAGGTTCTTGACTAATAAGGGGATCAAGCATTAAGGGGATAAGGCAGGAGGACGGGGTTGAGAAATATATCAGACATGATCAAATGGCAGAACAGACTTGATCAGCCGAATGGCCTAATTCTGCTCCTATATCTTATGGTTTATGGCCTAACCTTCCTGATTAATTGCTGCATTTATGTGCTAGTTTTTGTGTTTCTTGCATGAATCCCATTGTGTTGCAGCTTTCTGCAGATTTTTTTCATTTAAATAAGACTGTGTTCTTTTTTCCCTCACTTCTAAAATGAACAACTTATTTTCCCATATTATGCTCCATTTGTTAACATTTTTCATACTTAACAAACCTATCAATATCTCACTGGAAGTTCTTTGTATCCCCTTCGCAAGTTGCCTTTCCACCTGTTTTTGTGTTGCCAGCACAAATTTGGGTACAGTAAATCCACTTCCTTCGTTCAAATTATTAATATACATTGTGAACAGTGATGGTCCCAGCACTGAACGCTAAGGAACCTCACTGGTCACAGGTCTCCAACCTGAAAAATGAATCCTTAATCTTCACTCGCTGTTTTCTGTCCATGGGCCAATTCTCTACCCATGCCAATATACTACCTCCAACATCATGGGCTCCTGTTTTATGATTAACATTTTATGCGGTACATTGTCAAATTGCTTCTGGAAGTTCAAATACAGTACAATTACTGGTTCTGTCCTCTCCACTCTGATTGTGAGCTCCTTGAAAAATTCTAGTAAATTAGACATGATTTTCCTTTCACGAAGCCTTGCTGACTCTGCTGGATTAGATTATGATTTTCCAAATGTTCTGCTATTAATTCCTTAATAATTGATTTCAACATTTTTCAAACAATGGATGTTAGGTTCATCAACCTGTAGTTACCCACATTTTGCCTCCCTCCCTTTTTGAATAGGGATGTCACATTAGCAGTGGCGGAGTAGGCTTGAGGGGCTGCTTGGACTGTTAAAAAGTGTTCATCTCACCTCTGGTTCTTTTACTAGTTAAATCTGTTTCTACTAATTACTGTCCTGTGCCTCTAGCAAAATGTCATCATTTTTAACATAGCTGTTAAATTTCGTCTTATCTATCTCTGCTTAAGTATGATAATACTGGTCTCTCCATGAAATTTAAATTGAGCATGAGTTTGTTTGCAAATTACTATGTTTGTGTGCTGGAGTGTGTGCCTACATCTGGTTCCATGACTGCGTGTGTTTCTTGTCAACAAAAGTACAATGGCTAAGTTATAAATGCACCTATGGTGATTTGATTGGTGGGTTAAGTGATAGCAGGCTGAAGGTAACAGTACGATTTCCAGATCAATGGATTGGACCTTCTGGTGGGGGTTAACAAGGTTTTAAGCAGATCAGACCTGACTAAATCCATGAATGCATCAGCTGAATGCACTTCTTCAATCTTCCCCTCCCGGTGCATCTTTTCCTTGCCTCCTGCTCCAGGATGGATGATCAACACCATAATGATGCCTGTTATCACAGCCAGGACAGTTGTGGTTGTGTAGTAAATCACTGCTCGAACACCCATTTTACCAGAGGCCTTGCTGTCCAGGGCAGCCATACCTGTTGCATTGAAAACATCAGATCAGAACTGTAAGCAATACGGAAGAAATGATGAACAAAAGCAGAAGTTGCTGGAAAAGCTCAGCAGGTCTGGCAGCATCTGTGAAGAAAAAAATCAGAGTTAACGTTTTGGGTCCAGTGACCCTTCCTCAGAACCTTCCTCAGTTCTGGGGAAGGGTCATCGGACCTGAAACATTAAGTCTGATTTTTTCTTCACAGATGCTGCCAGACCTGCTGAGCTTTTCCAACAACTTCTGTTTTTGTTCGTGATTTACATCATCCACAGTTCTTTCAGCTTTTATTAAGGAAGAAATTATTACAAGCAATACTAATTCTCTAAAATGATTTGCATTTAAATAGCATCTATAACATTGTGTTTGCAAGTGCATGCGTGTGTCTGCTCAAGACCATATGTGCGTCAATAGTTGGGAATACAGTGGTGGTGCATATTACACCTTGTTTAATGTGATAGTAATATCAATGGACAAGGAAAACAGAGCCCCAGGCCAATGTCCTAGAGACATGGGTTTGAATCCCACCATGACAGATGGTGAAATTAGAATTCAATAAAAATCTTGAATAAAAAGCTCGCAAAATGGTAACTTGTAAATAATGGCATCAAAATCCTAATCACTAATGCCCTTTAAGGAAGGAAATCTGCTGTCCTTACCTGGTGTAGCTGACATGTGACTAATACTGCTAACCCTCCTCCTTTCCTTCCTTTTCTCTCTTTTATGAGCAACTTATACCCAGAAATATTTAACAGCACAGAAATATTGGGCAGCGCTGTGTCTCAGTGGTTAGCACTGCTGCCTCACAGCGCTAAAGACCAAAGTTCAATTCCACCCTTGGGCGACTGTGTGAAGTTTGCACATTCTCCCCGTGTCTACGTGGGTTTGCCCTGGTTTCCTCCCACAGTACAAAGATGTGCAGGCTAGGTGGATTGGCCATGCTAAATTGCCCGTAGTGTTCAGGAATGTGTAGATTAGGTGGGTTGTAGGGGGATGGGCCTGCTTCAAGGATTGATGTTGGGCTGAAGGGCCTGTTTCCACACTGTAGGGATTCTATGTTAATGATTCTACGTTAGTCTATGTTAGCCAGTTTTGCCCTTGAGCCAGGTGCCCGTCATTGCTCCAACATCATAATTCCACACTGAAAAAATGTGGTTGACTCTTAACTGTTGTCTTGGCATTTCAGAATGAGATGAACAGATCCCATGACTGAATTTAGAAAAGGGAAAAAAAAAATGATTGAGGAGAGCTAAAACCTAATCAAATAGATTCAATGGATAATTGAAGCGCATCAGTTAGAGTAAGGGAGAAAGAAATGAAGTTCAAATAGAGCTAACAAGTGGGAATGCAAAAGTTACAGTAAATAAGGTTGGGGAGTTACAGACACAGATCGCAGTGTTGAATATTCCTGGGTATAAGTTGTTCATGAAATTTGAAAAGAAAGGAAAGGAGGAGTAGCAGTATTAGTTAAGGAAGATGTCTTAGAGGGTTCATGGACAGAATCAATTTGGCTAGAGCAATGGAATAAAAAGGGTACAATTACATTGCTCAGTGCAGTCTATAGGCCACCAACTAGTGGAAAGGATGGAGTGCGGAAAATCTGCAATGAAATCACAGCAAAATATTATGGTGATTTTCAATTATCCAAATATAGATTCAGTTACTGGTAGTGCAGGGGGAGCAAAGGGCAAGTGTTCCTAGAATATGTGGAGAAGAATTTCCCACAGCAGTATGTTTCCAGCCCAACAAGGAAGGGATGTATTGTTGCATCTGGTCCTTGGAAATGGGCTGGGATAAATTAATCAAGTGTCAGTTGGAGAACATTTAGGAGACAGTTGTTAGAGCCTGTACTGAGTTTTCATTATTTAATTTTATTCTTTTCATCATTTTTGGTTTGAAGTTGTGAACTGGGACTGGGGTCTGTGAGCTGAAGATAATGTTTGGCCTATGGGTAGCTGCTTCTGTTTAAAAAAGGAACAAATTAGCTTTGTTTGTGAGGCCAAACTTGAAGTTCATTGCAACGTGATTCTTGATCAGACAATTCTACAGACTCTTCACCTCTGGGGGCAGCAGAATGTTTAACCAGATAGCAGGTGTTTGGTCATTAATGAGACCAGTCCCTCTGAGGATTGGTGCTAGCAAATCTGGAAGAGAACGAGGTCAAACAGAGGGAGGGACTGGAGAGTTCAAACCGTTGATTTTGCATTGTGTATCTGAGAGGAGGAATTTTGCTGTTGATGCTTCAGCACGAAGATTTGAAAGCTCCCTGCCTAACCTTCACATTTCAGCTATTGGAAGTTCAGGAAATAGGAACTAAGTTTTACTGAAACCTTCTCAGAACAAACTGAAAAAGTGGCCCTGATCGATGTTTTCAGAAAATCAACCAAGGAACAATCATGCATGCCAGTGAAAGAATGCACTGTGAAAACTGCTTAATTAATCTGGCCAGTTTTGGCAATTAAAAAAAAAAATCTCTTATCTGCTTGTCTTTGTCTGTCTCTCATTTGTGTGAATGGGGCTGAAAACAAAGGTTATTAAGCTTAAATCATAGATATTAATTAGATTAGTTTGTTCTCTTAAAGTTACAGTGTTGTTAACAAATCGCTAAGACTTTTCTTTAAGCTACAAACTAGGTTTCTGGAATTCATTATTCACAAAGTCTAGAATTGGTTATTCAGAAAGTCTGGTTAAGAACTAGAGCTAAACTTAACCAAAACTGGGGTCAATTTTGACGCCTTTAAAGATTTAAATTTTTCTGTGTTATGAATGCAGATGTAGGGAGGCTGATGTGATTCAGCTGTCAGTCTCTATGTCATAATGCAGTGATCGTTGTATCATAAGGTTCAGGATGGTAGTGGAGAAAGACATGCAACAATCCCTAGAGTAAGCAAAATCAATTGATGACAGCAGACTTCAATAGGGCAGAGCTGGGCAGGACTGAGCAGAACAAGAGGACTGAAAAATGGGCTACCTTCAAAAAGGAGGCATCATCCTTTGCCTCCTATTCACAACCAATTTTGCCAACTTGCCTTGGATCTCCTGAATGCCTACCTTTTCGACCAGCCTTTAATGTGTGACCTTGTCAAAGGCCTTACTGAACTCTATGTAAACGATATCAACTGCACTACCCTCATCAAATTATTTTGTCACTTTTTCAAAAAAACTCATAAATTAATTACATAGAATCTCCCCCTAACAAATCTGTGCTGACTATCTCTGATCAATCCCTGCCTTTTCCAAATATTGATTAATATTGTCCTTCATTACTTTTTCCAATAATTTCCTTATTACTGATGTCAGACTAACTGGTCTGTAATTACCTGGCCTATCCTTGCTGCCATTCTTGAACAAAGGAACCACATTAGTTATCCTCCAATCATCTGGCACTTTACCTATGACCAGTGAAGTATTAAATATCTCCACCAGGGCCCCAGAAATCTCCTCCCTTACGTCCCAGAGCAGCCTAGGATACATCCCATCAGGCCATGGGGATTTATGCACCTGTATGCCCGCTAAAACATCTAATACCTCCTCTTTATTAATCTTAACATGCTCTAGAACCTCCCCATCACAAATGAAATCTCCAGTTACAATGTCTTCCTCCTCTGTGAATTCAGAATGAGAAATATTCATTTAAGACCTCACCCACATCCACTGGGTCCATGCACACGCTGCTCCTTTGGTTTCTAATAGGTCTCATGCTTTCCCTGGTAATCCTCTTACTCTTAAAGTAATTACAAAAAGCCTTGGGGGTTTTCTTAATCCCATTTGCCAAAGATATCTCTTGACACCTCTTTGCCCACCTAATTACCTTTTTTACAACCTCCTATTTTTGAAGGACCTTCCCTGTTTTTAATGTGCTGTACCCAACATATGCTACTTTCTTTTTCTTGAAAGCTTGTGTTTTCAAATAAACCTGTTGGCCTATGACCTGGTGCCGTGTGATTTCTGACCTTGTCCATCCCAGTCCAAAACCAACACCTCCACATCAGGGTTCCCTGGATTTACTGCCTTTGCCCTTCACTGTGAGAGGAATATGCTAGCCCTGAATCATCACTATACCACTCTTAAAGGACTCCACTTTCTAAAAGTCTCTCAGTACAATCACATTGTTAAACATTACTCAATAGCTATAGTGAAGTGGTCACTCCTAAAGTTCAGGCTGCATGTAGCTGGGTGACCACCAGAAGAGGTAAGGGGGGAGGTGGTAGGGAGATAGTCCAGGGATCCCCCTTGACCATTCCAATCAATGACAGGTATATTGCTTTGAGTACTGTCGGTGGGGTGTGGGGGTGAAGAGCAGTGACCTTTCAGGGGCTAGCACCAGCACGGTCAGGTCAACAGCACTGTGACCGGCTCTGAAGCTCACAGGGAAAGGGTGCAGTCAGACAGAGCGATACTGATAGGAGAATCAATTGTGAGGGGGACGGATGAGATTCTGTGGCCGCAGAAGAGACACCAGGATGGTGTGTTGCCTCTGGGGTGCCAGGGTCAAGGATGTCTCCAAGTGGTTGCAGAACATTCTGAAGGGGGAGGGTGAACAGCCAGAGATCATTGTGCACACCGGTATTAATGACATAGGTAGAAAAAGGGATGGGGTCCTGTGAAATGAGTAGAGGGAGTTAGGTAAGAAGTTAAAAAGCAGGACCTCATGGGTAGTGATCTCCAGATTACTCCCCGTGCCATGTGCCAGGAAGGACAGAACTAGAAAGATAGGCCAGATGAGTGCGTGGCTGAGGAGCTGGTGTAGGGGGCAGGGTTTTCAGTTCTTGGATCATTGTAATCTCTTCTGGGGTGTAGGTGACCTGTACAAGAGGGAACCAGACCGGATCCAGTACCCTTGCGAGAAGATTTGCTAGTGTTACCCGGGAGGGTTTAAACTAGTTTGGCAGCGGGGGTTGGGTCTCTGAATAAGAGAGGAGCCATCGAGAAGTCAGGGGAAAATACATAAGCCATTGAGAGCAAGTTTACTATTCAGGATAGCCAG